GGGAACGGCGGGACTGAAGAGTTTCCTCGCTACATCTGGAGTGATCGCTTCATGTACGGCAGAATAGTGTTGTGACTTGGGGGTAGCGGCAGACCTGTTGCGTTTGGAGGGAGTCGAGGCGGATGGGAGGGATGTGTCTGGTTGCTTGCGCTTGCGTTGGCTTGGGTCTTGGTTGTCGCTCCTGGTGGGAGGAGGGATCTTTCCGGAGAGTATGTCGCGAAGTTTGTTGTACTGCTTGTATTTCTGGGCTGTAAGGGACCACATGTTAGAATCGTCAAAGAAGACCAGTCTGGATGGCATACCAATATCCGGATTCTGTTTGATGGCTTCACGGGACGGCTTCTTGCCGTCGTTCTTTTGGGCCCATTCTGCCTCGAATTGCTTCAGTTCTGCACGCAACTGGAGACTCTGGCTTTCATATTCGGCTTTTCGCTGTTCATCCATTATGGTTCTACTTTTGACTTGAAGAAAAAGAGCATTTCGAGGCGCTTGGTGGAAAGTCGAAAAGTCGAGAACAGCCAAAACCGGAAATCAATTAAAGATTCAGACAAGGCGCGTCCAGTAATAAATGGGAGGACGCGATGGTTCCCTTGGTTGCTGTTTCCGCCTTACGTTACCGTACGTTACACTCCACCCAAGCAGCACAAACAGTGGGGCATTTGTTCATCAGAACCCACTGGCGGCAGGGGCTCGCGTGCCTAAGATCCGCTAAAATGTCGAGCATGTGCAAGCAGCTGCACTGGGGCTGTACACTATTACATCAGCACTTCCGTTGCTTACTGCACCCAAAAAACCATCCTCATTTTGTCCTTCAACAACTTCAACGTGGGCGCGACAACACAGTCCATGCCCGATACCAGTCATTCCCTGAGCTCTATGGAAGCAACTGACGAGGCTCTCGACATCCAGGCCCAAGTTCTGCAAACAACCCTCCAGGAGATCACAGCGACGCGACGGGCGAGTGCCGCCAACGAGAAAGATGGCGAGGGTGTGAATGATGATGATGAGGTAGCCGAGGCAGACGACTGCTGTGTCATCTGTCTTGATTCCATCTCAGAACCTTGCACTGCTATGCCATGTGCTCATTCCCACTTTGACTTTGTATGTCTTGTGAGCTGGTATGTCGTCCATTTACGAATTCCCATAGGCTTCGCTGAGCTCACAAAGGGACATACATACATAGGCTTCAAGAACATCCAAACTGCCCACTATGCAAGGCCGCCATCTACAAGGTCCGATACGTTGACTCGACCTCCAACGAGAGCTTCTATCGAGTACCTAATGCCCCGAGGCCGCGCAATAAAAATGAGAACAATGGGAACGGGGACCAATCGGGGAACCCGGCACTATCAAACCTCCTTCGACAGCGCCGTAACGACCAGCGCCGACGACGAGATCGCGACGCTAATACTCATAGTACACCCACCCCAGGGGAAGCTATAGAACGTCGCAGACACATATATCGGCACCAGTTATATTCTTTACGTACGTCGTTGAAGCAAACAGTGAGTCATGGCCAAAGACTAATGCTTACACCACAACTAGACGTTGGCTCAAACCGCATTTCCGGATACAAACCAACCCCAACGCCTGACCAGTTTGCCACTACACCACACCTAATAACCCGTGCCCGTCTCTGGATACGACGCGAGCTACAAGTGTTCGCCTTTCTCTCCGACCCCGAACCAACTGCTGGCCCCAGTGGCAGTACGAGTAATGCCTCCGAACGCGAACTGACCCGCCGCCGAAACAACGCTGAATTTCTCCTCGAGTATATCATAGCCATCCTCAAAACGGTCGACATACAGGGCAGCGCCGGCCAGGCAGAAGATATGCTGGCTGATTTCCTAGGACGAGATCACGCACGCTTGTTTTTGCATGAACTGAGGAGCTGGCTGAGAAGTCCGGCACACTCGCTTGTGGCGTGGGATAAGGAAGTTAAATACCCTCATGATTCAAGCACAGGTGAAGCCAGCAGAAAGCGGAAGGCGCAAAATTCTTTAGATGTGGATGATGAAGGGGAAGATAACATTAGGCGACATGCATCTGGATCCGAGAGGAGTCAGACCCCAAGATGGCCAGAACGCAACACTCACCATCGGCAAACCGGCCATGAAAGGATATGGAGGCGCAGAGACTTTGGCAGGAGTCCTAGACGGGATGGTAACTCTGAAAGTAACCGCCAAGGGCCAGGCTGACCTCCAGTGTCACGCTATGAGATAAATAACCGAGCCGCATCCCTCCCTTTGACGCAAAAGGATGAAAAGTGGAGCTGATAGTTGCATAAATAAGCTGTCGATAAGATATCTGGATGCGAACATCTACGGCCGCGTTCGGGGGCCTAAGTGCTAATCGATGAGGAGATGTTGGGTACCGGCCACTTGACTCTGAGGTTACCAATGGAACCGCATGTGCCATAATGGGAGGCTCCAAAGCAACAGTTGCAAAGCGATGTCAGGCGTCCGTGTGCCTTGACAATCAAGCTTTCGGATATCCCGACAAGTTGGATATGCTTCAGGTCATTTCACGCACTACGCCGCCTCAGAGCATCGATCGAATTTTACCTCATGGAGCTGGTTTTCGCTATCGAAGGGCAGTGGTCAGAATTATTTCGAACTCCATGGTTCTGAGTAAGCGACCAACATGTGGCGGCACTACATGCATGGTGGCGTATGGAAATGGTGTGAAGCGGCTATCAGGCGGGCCAGCAGTCTTGACTCTGCCGCAATGCCCAAGAATTTCAATCAGAAAAAAACAATGGCGGACTTCGAACCTGAGAATATCACAAGAGTTGGGTTAATCTTTAGTGCATGTTGCCACCTACCGAAATCTCCTCGTGGTGCAGCCTGGGTGTTCGAGATATCGACTGGTGTCAAGTGAAGAGGACTGGCAAATTTGAAATAGCGGGATGAAAATTGGGACATCTCCCCGAGAAGTGTCTGTTTAATGACCACCAAGATGGTTGTGCCATGGTGACCTGGGCATCCCGCCTCTTCATGCCCGACACAAAAGCTCCAAGTACCACCCGGTGGTATATTTTGGCTCAAAGCTACCGTCTCAACCGGCCACACCGTCCTGACGCACCTCATGTCCAGCCTATGTCGGTTTGATACATCAGCTCGTTCCGAAGTGGAAGGCATCAGGACTTCCCGAACCCCCATCATGCCAGTCACCCTATCTCACCAACCAAAGCCGCAGCCTCCAGAGGGTTGAGGTTACGGAGCAAGTCATCGGACAATCAATGCCAAGCCAGAATCTTAGAACCGATGATTGGGGAATTTGTCAAGATGGCTGTAACGCCCGTCAGCACACTGTTGCATTGCACGGTGATATTTCTGGGGCAATGGTCTAGCCAGCCAAATACTAACAGCTTTGTGAAAGAAATATGGCGTGTTCTGTTAGTGACGCATACCCACTTCACAACTTCTAGCCCTCAACCCAAGACAGATCTATCTAATATGTCTTTCCACTTCCTACTTCCACGTTCATCCATCCTAAACCATCTCTTTTCTTTCGCCTCGGATGCCGATGGCAATTTCCATCTGGTATTCAAGCCAGTCAGACCTTGTTTCAACTTGTTAAAAGCCTCCTTCAACATGGGGCCGTAACGCCTTCATTCATCCAAAACACCAAAAGCGAAAAGCGATGATCTGCTTCCCGCCCGCTTCAGGGTCCCCTTCAAATATTCAACCTTTGGCAAACGGCTAGTGATTAAGAAAACGACAACAGACTACAACGACGACAACAACAACACTGGGGAAAGTCAACGATTCCCCTTCCTGGATGTGAGAACAGCGCTATAACTAAAATATGCCCCCCGTGACGGCCTCTGGGAAAGAAACTTGAGCTCCCATACTGAGATTGAAGTTCTCCACTTCATCCTCCCATTGCGGTCAGTCGGAAAAATCAAGCGTCCTTTCAATTCGATAATGCTGGGGATCTTCTGTCATTTCACCATTATCGCTTCACCGACTTTCATGTAGCTACTCATGACCGTTCAGGGCTGCAGGGCAGTGAGGTTCCCTATTTCAACTCTGTTCGTCCGTCAGTCCGTTCGTCGTTCCTAAGTTTAGGCTAAGTTCGGTTCGGTTTCACGACACGGAGCGGCTCATCACATAACTTCGGCTCAAGGCGGTGCGATTGCGGCTTGAACTACGGCTTGATCACGACTACGACTGCGCTTTGCTCTGCGCTCTCTAGAAGTGTGCGTACGCAAGTCAATGGTTTGCTTGGTTGGAAAAGTTGAAAAGGAATAAACAGAAACATGATTCTAGTTCGGACCGCTGCTGCGCCCTTCTCCACCTCCGTCTCCGTCTCTGTTACCGCCGTCATCTCCCGAGTTACCTGGTCCCTTCTCCTGGCAACGTTCTTCTACTCAACATGTGTCGCCTCGGCTAGCATCAATGTGGTCCGCCGCGACGGCAACGGCGACAATGGCATCATCCCGGCCGGGCACACTCAAAGTCCGACCCTCCCTTTTACGAGCAACAGTAACAGCCTGGCAGGCCGACCCCAAAAGCGAAGCACCACAGAACACGTCATCCTCTGTGACTGCCTCTCCGCCCAAGGGATTCGCTCATCACAAATGGCCTACTACAGCGCCGAAGTCCACGGCTTACCGACAGGCGGCGTGGCGAGCGTGGAGACGAAATTCAACACGACGGCAGCATGGTACAACGATACTACGTCGGCAACGTGGGCAGACACGGGCGTCACTTTCAAGGCGGTGATTGGGTACCATGTCGCTGAGAACGATTACTTGGGCAAAGGGAATAATGGCTATGGCGATTTTACGTGTTGGCAGAGAGCGAAGACGGGGTTTTCGTATGATTTGAATGGGGATGGAAATGTGTGTGCAATGTTGATTGATTGTAATAAGGATACTGCTCCTTGTAAGTCACTATACTTGGCTCGTGTGATGAATGGGAAAGCAAGTGGGAAATTCGCAGAAGCTAACTCTCGAGGGAAAATATAGCAACCAATCCGGCTTATGTACCCTTGGGTTCAACCACTACCACAGGCACCCCCGCCACTTCTTCTTCTTCTTCTTCTCCTTCTTCCTCTTCCGACCCAGCAGCATCGGCCCAAAAAGACAAAGTGATCTCCAATGGAGCAGTAATCGGCATTGCCGTAGGAATCGTCGGGGCCTTCATTTTCCTCGCCGGCGGAGCCAGTTTCCTCGTTGCCCGGCGACGACGACAAATCAGAAAGCGACAGCAGGAACAAGAGCAACGACAGCGAAAGGAAGCGAGGACAGAGTCGACCATTACCGACCCAAATACCGTTTACGAACTGGATGGGGGGTGGCATCGACACGAGATGGGTGACGATACAGGGCACTACGAGATCGACGGGCAGGTCCGGTGCGAGATGGACGGGGTTGACGGGGAGATCAAGGGGAAGATGGATGATTTGTTTGCTGAGGCGGACGTGAAGGAGGTCATTATCTCGAATGAGAAGGTCGATTCAAAGAAAGCAATAATTGATGAGGAGATTGATGATAAGAAGAAGAAGAGGTATGTTGGTGGTGTTAGTGAGAAAGAGAAGGAGGTGAGGAGGGATAAGGAGGAGCGGGAGCGGGAACGAGAACAGCAAGAGCAAGAACAGAAGCAACAGCAGGAGGAACAAAAGAGAAACAGAGATGCCGAACAGCTACCACCAGTTTCACTATTATCACCACTCTTACCGGCGTGGGCGGCCGGAGCAGGGACGTCTTGGACGGAAGAAGTAGGGCAAACGCCATTTTGCTTGCCGGCCTTGATGCCGGAGCCGGAGAAGTTCATGGCGGAGGATTTCCGAGCATACAAGGAGAAGAACAACGACAACGACAAGGATGAGACGAATTTCAAGTTCCGGTTTGAGGAGGAAACGCAGAAGTACATGAAGGTAGAGGTACCATCACCAACAGGAGCCACAGGCAATGGGGAGGATGCCCATGCCTCTGAGGATGATAGTAGCGGCGGTCAGGAGGGGAAGAAGGAGGAAGGTCTGCCGTAGGTCGCATGGTATTTACCTCTAGTAGCATAGCATATCAGCGGAGTGGAGGATCACCGCCTGCATCGGCCGGGTGAGGCTCACGATTTATGATGACAATATACCCAACTTGTGAACATGTTCACCTTATGGTGTTCTCTTATGTTTGGGGACGACTGTCGCGTTTCATTATTCCTATCGGATAGCGACGTAAAAGACTCGCATCATTGATAGGCATATACTCGGCGGACAGGAATAACATTTGATGTAGATCCGGAAGTTGAAAGCCGAGGGGTCGATAAGTATCGAATTCATCTGCCGCAATGCCGCTTTGACATGACATGGAAGTGTGGCTAACAAGAGGCAGTGCAAGTGCAAGAACCGCCTAGCGAGCCTGCGCTAGGTACCTTAGATCGGTTGTAGGTACGCAGTAGGTAAGTAAGGCGTGACCGGAGCGTCGTCCGCATGCTTCAACAACAACTTTTTTTTTTTTTGGAACAAGGATGTAACGGACTGGCCGATGCGCCATGGACGATCGCGAATGCTGAGTGGACGAAACATGTGAAAGACTCGAAAAGAAAAGAGGACGCTGATTTGATCAAACGGGGTGTCAGCAGGAACAGCGCGGATCACCGTTCGTCGCCGAGACCGGGCAGCGCCGAGCCAAGACGACGAACGGGAGAGGACCCGAAGGCGCTGCGGAAGGATGGTTCCTTGGCGCTTGGCGGATGAAACTGAAGATTGTTGTCGCGATGCCGAGTATCCGGGCCGTGAACCCTCAAGAACGAGTACACTACACATACCGCCCGCTAGTGTACATAGTCAGATGGTCAATGTTGTAGACCTGACCTGACGAGAAACTTGAGTGTGGAGGAGGGCATGTGACGTCATCAAATTCTTGGAGAAACTTGTCGTTCTTTAGACTGGAACAGTTGGGGTCATTTGCGCAAACCTAGGTACCTAGGTGATTACTACCTAGGGTCGTTGGGAAGGTTGAGTTGTAGGACATGGTATCGATCTTGGCAGTAAATAGGAAAAAGTCACCTCAAAGCTTGGTTGAAGCCGATCTTACTAGTACCGATGGAATTCAAGGAAGCGCAGTGTAGACAAGATAAAAAAGGGAGATCAACCAAGGTCATTGTAGCTTCCTTCCTCGGATGTCACAATGGGAAAAGCTGACTCGCTGAGTCATTCACTGCCCGGCTGGGCTGTGTGAATGCCGAACCGAACGCAGGCGCAGCGGGGTGGTGGGCATGTGGAAGCCCGGGGGGAGACGGGCAGGGAAGAGCTGGGCTGGGGGAACGGCCTTCCATCCCTCCACCAAATCAGAGACAGCGACCCTGACAGCGACCCGGACAGGGACCCGACGTACAGCCGCGCGTGAAAAACCGTGCAGATATCCATGTGCCCTGCTGATCCTCCATTGAGTACCTTAGTCTTTTTCTTGCCATTCTTGGAAATACAAGTAGCTTATATACCCCATCATCCCGGGCCCAGTAACTGTCGTACAACTCCCCTCGACTTCCAACTCGTCGTTTACTTCAAGGTTCGACAACCAGCCAAAAAGCGCAACCAAGGGCACTTGAAGACAACGAACCTGGACTTGAATCGTGGTGGTGGAAAAAGTAACATGGGATTGGCCAACCAAACGAGCACAACAGAACACTAATCCCTACGACGACTGGAGCAGACTGATTGGACTCTGTGGATTCTTCCCACATTGCAAACATGGCTCTCCCCTCTGCCGCATCAGAGCACTACCTTGAGCAACCCACGTATGATGATCCTCCTGAGGACAGTTCACGCGAGCAAAGTCAAAACGAACCTCAAGAAAATGACGATAACCCACCAGGTGGATTCGATCCAACTCCGCTCCCCGACGCTCCTCCTGGGTATACCATCAAAATCACCTTCCACAAGGCTATCAACCTCCCAGTGGCCGATATCCAGACAGTATCCGCCGATCCATACATCCACGCCACACTGACTGCTGATGTCCCCAAGCGACACCCAGAAGACCCTCCACTCACGCGCAGGACACGGACTATACATCATAGTCTGGAGCCGGTATGGGAGGAAGACTGGATTGTTGCCAATGTGCCAACCACAGGATTCGTACTAAAATGCCGCCTATACGACGAGGACTGGCCAGACCATGATGACCGACTGGGCAATGTTACCATTAAGGTGGATCACCTAGACGAGGACTGGCCGGGATTTGGACTGGATGGCAAGTTCTTTGAAGTTAGGAAGCGTTCGGGCAGCAAACGGGCATATTTCCACAAAGGCATTGAGGCCCTCATGAATGGACTGAAATGGACAACACCTCAGATACACATCAGCGTTAATGTCCTCGGCCTCTCGGATCCACCTCATGCCCAGATGTGCACTCTGGGTCCTACCTATTGGGTCAAGCACTTCAGTCCCATGATCGGGCGGCTGACAGGCACGACAGCCGGATCAGACAGCGATGACAACAGCAATATGCCACAAAAATACGAGTGCGTGATCCAAGCTCAAAGGTCGAGTATGACGAAGCAATTGCTGACAGACAGAGAGCAGTTTCCAAGCCAACGAAATCCAACTTGCTGGGCCAGTTCCTCCCAAGCTATACCACCGCTACGTCGAGTTCCGTCCCATTATCGGCAAGATGTTTTCGCAAAAAGGTTTCAGGGGTCACATCCTGAACAAAGTTCTTCACAAGCAACACAGGCGAATCTACAATTTCGACTCTAGTACCCAATACGGGATATTTGCAGAACGCAGCAGGGAGGCTTCTGTACAGTTTCTCAAGATGGCGCATTATGCGGAAGGAGGTCGCATTTTCACCTACGTGCTCACCTTGGACGGCTTGCTGCGCTTCACCGAGACGGGCAAGGAATTCGGTATTGATCTACTGAGCAAGCACACCATGCACTCAGACGTGGCGACCTACATCGCCTGCTCGGGCGAGTTCTTCATCAGACGTATCTCCAAGCGCCATAGGCACCATCACCCTCACACGGACTCTTCAAGCCACCATTACAATGACCAGGAAAGCGGGAATGGCGAAAGCAGCACCTGCGAGAACGGGTTCGACCACGAGACACACGATCACCCAAGCGCATCATCCGAAACCTCTCGCGACCCGGAGGACTACAAGCTCATCATCGACAACGACAGCGGCACCTACCGCCCAGACAAGTGCGTCCTGCCTGACCTGCAGGCGTTCCTGCAGGGGCAGTTCCCGGGTCTGCACATTCGGGCGCTGGATTGCGGCGACGAGGAGCACCAGAAGGCCAAGAAGGAGCAGCTGGAGATCAAGAAGAAGGAGGGTGCCAAGGTCCGCATGGTGTTGAACCGCAGCCCGAGCTCGAGCAGCTTCAGCTCGGATGACGAGAGTCGCCTGGGAGATTTGGATGCGATGGATGATGATACGCCGAGGTACAAGAGTAAGAAGGAGAGGGTGTTTGAAATGGTGGAGGATCCGAGCACGTGGAGGGACTGGGTTCCGGGTGTGAACAGCGGCGGGCACGGGCACGGGCACGCGGAGCAAGCGAGTGGGAACGGTGGAGGGAGAGCGGAGTGACCAAGACGGTTTAGGGGATTTTCGCGGCTGTTTTTTTTTTTTTTTTTTTTTTCTGCAAGTGATACCATGAAAGATATGAGAGTACGGGTTTGGAGCGGTAATGGATTACGCCTAGTAATAAGTATTGATGGAAGTGGCTCGAACGAATGTGGTTATATATTTATACGTTGCGCTATAATATTAAGGAGTATCAGCAACTCAGGTACTTCTATCAGCTGGCTTGGCTTAGTTTGGCCGTTGTGAATATGCGTTTATGAGCTTTGAATGGAGCAAGGCGGACTCGCTGCGTTATAGTATACCGTAAAACAACATTAACCACCACAAAAGAATTGTCATTCTGGTAATCCATACCATCAACTTCATTTTCCTCATCTCGTCCAAGAATCACAAGCAACAGCCAAGAGGCGTACAGTGAGGTAAGGTTATGTAGTGCCTTTTCCCCTTTACCCCATGGGTTCGTCTACAATAACTCCATATGTACCTCTACGGTTACCCATCTCATACCGAGGGCCCCATTCAGTGGGTCCGTCCCGTTAACTGCAAAGACGGAGATGGTGATGGTGCTGGGGCCGCACTCATACCCCAGTCCTCAGTCTTCTTCCATAGTAACCGCAGCGCAAATGGAGATTTGGATGCGGACATTCCTGTCTTCTCTGTATAGTACACATATATTATGGGAAGGTTGAAAATTGGGAACATAGTCAGGACATTGAAAGATATCAGGATGTGGAAAGAAAATGATTGATGCTGCACGATTACAATCCAGTACCGTGGAGTAGTACCGTGTACACTACCTTTAGCGCATACTCGTTACAAGTTGAGACCATGAAGTTATATACTTATAGACGTCAACACCTTACACTACTGAGTATATGACCATATATTACTACCGCTCGTAGCAAGCAACACTCCGACTGAAGACGCGGCCGGGAAATGCAAAGAACACTCACCAGTAGTCCCCGCCAAGAGAGGAACATATCTACCTAGAACTAGTGTAGTAGTGGACGACGGACGGGTCGCATGGAAGGCCCGAAGCGACGACAGTCCGTCATTCAGTTGCCGGGACCTCCCCTGCATGCAGTCCGGGTCGAGCTCCATCCAGCCAGCTGTGAGGTTGCATGACGAGAGTTTGTGACGAACTGGTAATTGACATTCCCTTCCCCCGTTAGCCTCCGTTAAGTGGTCGGCATGTACTACGTACGGTATTGTACACTGAAGAACTATCCATCCTAGTGCTAACCAACCAACAAAATACCTAGCCAGCTGGAACGCTGGAATTGGGGATGGTATCGAGTGTAGGCAGGCATTGGATGCTGAGGCTTCCATTGTAACGAATGGCTGGATGGAACCTAGGTAAGGAAGGAAAAGGATGATAGGTGGACGGATGATGGGAAAGAGATGCCCGGTCGGATGATAGCCCGTGCGCTGGTGGACTGCACTAACAAGGGACGGGCCCCAGTTTCTGTTTTGCTAGAGATAGACCTGGAGTCGACGAAACGAAGGGGGTAGATAGGTATATTTTATGTACATCAACGGTTGTTCCCAAAGATGGGACAAAATCAGCGCGTCGATCTTCAAGGAGAAGTCGAAGTGGTAGAAAGAAGGAATTCTGTAGTGAGTTACTCTGATAGACAGAAATATTTACCTAGGTAAGCACTAACAGAAAAACATCGGCATGTGCTCTGCCCGGCCCGTGGTAAATAAGCTGCCCCACAAGGCCAGCGAAACGATGCATCCTTCTCCTGATTATCTTGGTAGCGTTCCCCGGCATAATACACTACACACCTTGCTGTGTACCGTCTCCCGTAATTTTACATTGGCCGACGTGCCATTCCACTTGGACTGCTTGGCGACACTTTTGAAGCTCCTCCTATCCATCCGCCATCAAGTTCCCGTCCACCTCGAATCTGTTTCAAATTATTGTCCAGGCCCTGGGACTTGGTCGCTGACAGTTCTCCTCGTCGATTGCTTAGAGGCAAAAAGCAATTACACAAGCTATATCCGGCTATAACCGTAGCCCATCGCATCCCATTCCCGGGCCGTGAGACAAGTTCCAGTGGAAAGGAAAGCTGAGGATCGACAAGCAACGAAGCCATACCACGCCTGGGCAATTACACAATTACACGCCCATTATTTCGATTTTAATCCCAATTCCAATCCAAAAGTCCACCCCGAGCGAACGTGCCCCTTGTCGGCCACGGCGCAGACCGACCGCCGTTAACGAAACGAGCGAGGCTTGCACTTCCCACGCGACCAAGAGACCCCGTCCGTCTGTTACTGTGCATCCCGAACGTCTACTCTCTCTCTCCGAGTCCGCTCCCGACTACATACACTTACTACTACATACCTTGACCTACTTAGGTAGTACTTGGCGTTGAGGTGGTATTACGCGACAAGGAAAAAAAAAAAAAAAAAAGAGTCCCGAACGTCGCAATTCTCCGAGACCCCGACCGCCCCCAACGACGAACAGAATATCCCATTCCCAATTCCATGTTTGCATCTTCGACGACAGTACCATCCTACAATTACAAAGACGCTCTTTTTGTCCGCCAATTCCGTTAATAATCTCCTTGGTTCCCTCGGTCCCCTTGTCACGGATACTACTGTCCTTCCCCCTCAATCACCTACCTATTCTCGCTTCGATAGCTTGCGCCTCGCTCCATAACTTGGATATTTTCATACCCCCGACTTCCCCCAAGGTAGTAATTGCAGTCGCTGGTGGCCAGAAGCGGATGCGGACCGGGTCCCGTCCCGACGGCGCGGAGTGATGCAGACGGCAAAAGGGAAGGCCGAGGCGCTTGGACGGAAAGCCAAGGTGTGTGTGTATGAGAGAGAGAGAGAGAGGATATGCACTTGGGTTGCGTTGCTTTGGCGTTGCTTGCCCGCCTGCCTGCTTCGATCGAGCCTGCTTACCCCCCCTTCCCATAATCCCATCCATTCAATATCCGTACGTTCAAGATTGCAGGAATGGGAATGCTGACACAGAAGCCTTGCCCATCACAGCTTGCGAGTTCATATCAGGAGTTGCTCGAGTAGGTTCCCCAATTGCGCTCCTCGGACGAAACAAGACCCCATTTGCTAATCACCTTCTGTCATCTCTTCTGTTGTGCAGCGAGTTCTCGAGCAAAGACCTTCGATCGGTTGGAAACTATACCCTCGGACGACTAATTGGCAAAGGATCCTTCGGCAAGGTCTACTTGGCCACCCACAAACTTACAAATGGCTCCAAGGTGTGTTGCGCTGGCGGCCTCTTTCTGTCCCTTCCGAGACACTCGGGCTAATTCGAACTTCAACCTTTCTCTTCGGTCGCATATATAGGTCGTGCTCAAGTCAGCCAACAAGGATGACACCAACCTCGCTCGCGAAATCCATCATCATCGCCAGTTCGTCCACCCGCACATCGCCCGACTATACGAGGTGGTCGTAACGGAGAACTTGGTATGGATGGTGCTAGAATATTGTCCAGGTACGAAAGCAAATACCATGACCGCCTTTCCATCTCGTATGCGCCCTCTCTAAAGTTACATTGACGTGTTTCACAGGCGACGAGTTGTACAATTACCTCCTTCAACATGGCAAGCTACCGGTCGACAAGGTGCAGAGGATCTTTGCGCAACTAGTGGGCGCCGTGTGCTACGTCCATCGACAATCTTGTGTCCATCGAGATCTGAAACTGGAAAACATCCTCCTCGACAAACACGAGAACGTCAAGCTATGCGACTTTGGTTTCACACGCGAATATGAGGGCAGTGCCAAGTATCTGCAGACGTTTTGCGGTACCATCTGTTACTCGGCTCCGGAAATGCTAAAGGGCGAAAAGTATGCGGGCGAAAAGGTGGATGTTTGGAGTTTGGGGGTTATTCTCTTCGCCCTTCTCTGCGGCGAGCTTCCCTTTGACGATGATGACGAGCAAGTTACCCGGCGAAAGATTCTTGGCGAAGAACCAGTTTACCCCGATACCCTTCCGGAAGATGCGCTATCTCTTCTAAAGACACTACTATCCAAACGACCGCTAATACGACCGTCTCTGCCCGATATCCTCGCCCACCCCTTTCTCTCCGAATACGCGCCACAACAACAAGAGATTTTGAAACTCGAGCATCCACCGCCGTTCTCAACGCCGTTGGAGAAAGAGACGTTACATCGGATGCGAAGCGCTGGGGTTGATACGGAGGCGGTGATGGAGAGCGTCATAGCCCAGAAGTGCGACGCCCTTGCTGGCTGGTGGACGCTATTGATCGAGAAGGAGGAACGGAAAGCGGCGAGACGGGAACGAAAGCGCAGGGAAAAGGAGGAGAACCGAAACTCGAGACGCTTCTCTCAGGCTTCCAGTCGACTCAATGCTTTGGCTACTGTAGAAGAGTCACAGTATGCCCCGTTCGGAGAGCAGCCACAGAGACCACGAGGGCGAAGCGAGAGCAGGAGAAGCGGGCACTACCCGGCTTTGCTCATCCCGGATATGCCCAGCTTGTCCGACTATCCCAGAAGCGCAACTGAAACTCGTAGTCCGATAGAGGGCGATATGCCACCTCCGCCGCTGGATAAGGACTCAATTAGGGGCAGATCTACCAGCTCCTCGCGGCACAGGAAGCCGATTCCTCCGCCCAAGGAGGGTATTCTGAGGAGTGCGCGATCGAGAGGCTCAACTCTTCATTTGGTCACTACGAGTGAAGTTCTGGACTTGAACGGGAGTCTACAGCTGCCTGATGACCAGAACCAGGTGAAGAAGAGGCCGTCTAAGACCAAGATTTTTTGGAAGAACTGGACGCATTGGCTCTTTGAGAGTACACGGCGGCATAAGAACTCGCAGAAGCGCGCCAGTCAATCGACCCCTAATCTAGCGGATAAGGCCGCCGTGCAGAGTGCGAAGGATGGCAAATCCAAGGATGGGGAGATTCAACGGCCGCAGACGAGTAAGTATCCAGCAGCGAGCTCTCCGATCACATCGGGTACGGCTGGTCTACCTAAGGGTGTAGTAGCCAACGGCTACGCCAACAAAGCGTCACCGGCGCTCTCCGCAGGCTCTGCACCGTTTAAGAACAGTAACGGCTGTGTCGGCCTTTCGAGTTCGCTACCGTCCTCTTTGCCACCAGTTCCACGCACATACACGTCAGGCTCCCACAAGCGACAGTCCCTATCGCCATCACCCGTAACACCGCGCTCCACCATGCGGCGAGCCTCTGGTACCGCGGGCCTTCGTGGCAGGAAGTCCACCTCTTCGTCGGTCTCCTCCATCCGTTCAATGCACCCCACCCACCACCATACCCACAGCAAAGCCAGTTCTACCTCCTCCAACAATTCCGTTTCTACATCGGTCTCAAAATCTGCCTTACAAGCCAGCCGCAGTCCGCACCACTCGGTCAAGGTTCTCCCCGCCACGCCAACAACCGTCGGCTTCCCAAGCAACATCCGCTACGTCCGTGACCGCACCGGCCCGCCACTAGGCATCGGCAGCATCGGAGGCCCCAGTCTCTTTGCCAACTCGCCCAATGACTACGGCTCTTCCGATGACGGCCGCCTCAACGCCGCCTTCCTCGGCAATGGCGGCGGTGGCAGAGGCGGTCTCTCCGCCCTCAACACCAACACGCAGTACTACCACATGCCTCCCGCCCCTGGCTCGCCTAACCCTTTTGCCTCGGTCAATTCGGGAGGATATTTTGCTCCGAGGGCACCGGGCAACGGATCGCCCGTAGTTGGACCCGGTGGCCATGGCGGCGTCATGTTCGCCAAGAGAAAGAAGAATATCTTCAAGGGCCCGGTACTCAACTTTGGCGGCAGTGCCGCTGGTGCTAGCAGTAGGCAGAGAGAGGAAAGGAGTAGCAGCGGTGCGTCCGGGTCAGCTTCGGCGAGTCATTCAAGGAGTGCGAGCGCTAGTGGTATGGGGCGGAGGAGTGGGGAGATTACGATCCAGGAGGAGGAGGAGCCTGGGGAGGAAGAGGAAGAAGAACAGAATGCACATGGTGGCGGTGGATATAGTAGCGGTGGTGGTGGCTATCACAATAGCCATTGGGGCGGAAGCAGGACGGGCGCAGGTTGGGGAGGACTAGGGATGGCGGGCATGGAAGAGGAAGAGGAGGTGGAAGAGGTGGATAGCTTTAGTCCCATTATTACCGGGCCAGGCGAAATTGTGGAGGAGAGGATCATTGAGGATGGGGAGGAAGAGGAAGAAGACGATGACGCCCAGGAGAGTGCGGACGAAGGTACGATTACTGATCAGAGATCGAGAAGGTCGAGACCTAGGTCGCAGGATCTTGACGAGGAGGAAGAAGAGGGATTGAATGCCGCTGGTGACGCGAGGCGGCACTCGAACTCGAACTCGAACCCGAACCCGATTCAGACTCCAACGAGGCCGAGCACTCACGGGGTGGAAGAAGAAGAAGAAGAAGAAGATCATGTCGATGTCGGTGAAGAGTTCAAAGGGCTTGGGTACGATGTCGGGGTCGCGATAACTACGGCACCCCACAGGCTGAGCGCCGACGGGCCTCCGCTCTCGTCATCAACTGTTCGGGCCGTCCCGGAACAACACCAACAACAACAACAGAAACGCGGGCACAGAAGGGGATGGAGTAATGGGACTAGTAGCAGCGGTGGTGGTGGAAGTAATAACAATGGGGAAGGGACTAGTGGTAAGGTTAGCAGATGACGGTTAGTGAGGCGGGCCTTGCATATAACTAATAAGTAAAGTGGTGTCGTGTATGTGTGTGAGTATAAAGAAGGGATAGGCAACAAACAGACCAGACACCGGGGCCAGGAGAACAAACGATCGATTGGGGAGGGGGTGGGGGTGCTGAAGACTGAATTGATATGAAACGACAGGCGGATGCATTGGTTGAGATGGCTGGGAGATGTTGATCGGTTGGTTGTCAGAATGGAAGGAGGCGAGGGCGGTGTCTGTTTATACCAACTACATCTACTTGCACTTAGTTTTTTTTTTTCTTATCTTTTTTTTCTCTTATTTTTATTTTCTTGCTTATACAAACTTACATATACATACAGATGTACCATACCATATCATACCATACCATACATAGAGATACCTAACTAACCTACCACATAGCTACTTAGTCTGGGGCTGACTCGTTGGACGAAGGAGGCGGAAAGGGAAAAAAGAGATGAGGAAAATAGGAGGGAGGGAAAGTAGCCAGGGGGTCGTGTTCAGTTGTCTTCTTCTTTTTTTATCCCTCACACTTCTACACTTCACTTCTACGTTACCTATTATTGTTATTTTGAGCAAGGCCCGCCTCACTACTTTTTTGCCTTTTTTTTTTTTTACCTACCTACATATAGGTACTTATCACCTCTTTACATTATCGTCATCACTTTTTTTTTCTTCCGAGTCTCTATAGAAAGTCAAAGATACCATTTAGTTTTTCTTTCTCGTATTTGGTTGATACATGTACATGCATGGAATTGTGTATTGAACTTTGGTGGAGGGAGTGACGTGCAGAGAGAGAGGGAGAGAGAGAGAGAGATCAAGAGAAAAGTGATGATTGAAATGGATATGTATCACTACATCCAGCAGCAAGATTGCGCTTAGGTACACCTTTACAGAGTGGATTGTGATAGATATGTAAACTTGATAATTGGTGTCTGCTGTTGATGTCACTGATAAATGCAACAACAAACAAAAGAAACGAAAAAGAAAAAAAAAGAAGAAAAAAAAAACTTAAAGACCTAGAAAACAGACCAAAATTGCAAATGCTAAAATAAAAATAAAAATAAAAGACTATTTCCTCCCCAATGGTATCAAACCCTTTTTGTTTCCCCCCACCCGCTTCCAAATTCCAAACAACTTAAAACCCCAGACGTATGTGTAGCTAGGTATTTACAAAAGAAATTCTTGTTCTTCTTCAAAGCACAAACTGGTAGATCAAAATCCGTGGGCCAGCCCCCCCTCTTATCTCATATCCCATTCCATTCCTCAGCAGAGCTCCTCTCCCCCTTGCTCACTCACTTACTCGACGGATATAGTGTAGTATCCATGATCCTCCAAGTCACTAACCTGACTCACGCAGCGGCAGTAGCAGCAGCAGTACCAACCGCCGGCCCATCCACCGTCTTCGTTGCCGTGACCGTCTGCGTCTCCGTAACAGTCGCCGTCTCATTATGAATCAGCGTATCCGTCACCCTAACCGTCGAAACCTCCTTTTTCGTCTCAGTAACCGTTTCCTTTGTTGTTATTGTTGCGGTTTCGGTTGCAGTTTCGGTTTCGGTAACCGTCTGGACCACCACCTTTGCTTCTTGCGTCTGCGTAGCTGTCGCTGTTTCAGTAACTGTCACCGACACAACAGAGACTGTGACTGCACTTTGACTGGCAGAAACAGCAGCACTACTTTGCTCGGCAGAAACAGAAACAGAAACAGAAGTACTGGCAGAAACAGCAGCACCGGCCAACTTGACATTCCCATTCCCATTCCCATATACATTCAACTCGTTCTTGTGGCCGGGGGAGTACTGGTACTGAGGGGGTTTGAACAGGCGGTCGACTGTTGCCCAGTATTGTGCTTCTGATGCTTGTTGTTGCTGTTGTTGAGGGTCGAGAGAAATAGCAGCAGCAGCAGTAGGGGCGGCGGTGACTTTGGCGGCTGCTTTGATGAGGCCGTTGCCGGCAACAATGCCCGTGGGAGCAGAAGGGGCGGAAGGGGCGGAAGGAGCGGAAGGGGCGACAGGAGCAGAAGGAGCAGAAGGGGCGGAAGGAGCGGAAGGAACAGAGGGAACTTGGATGGATTGAGTGGGAGCTTCAAAGGCATCGTAAGAGAGCAAGTCGGTCACGGTGCCGGTGACGGGGATGATTACGAGCGGGTCATCGTCGGTGGTGCTGCTGGAAGAAGCGGCGCTGCTTTCGGCGCTACTGGTGATGATGGGTGCGATGGTGGTGGTGGTGGTGGTGATGCTGCTGCTGGTAATGTCGCTGGTGGTGGTCACGGGAGCAGGAGCTGAAGATGGGGCTGAGAGTGAAGAGCCTTTGAATGTAGAAATACTTTGGTTAGGAAACGTCGTGGAATGAGAGTAGAAGGTGGTATGGTGGAGAAAGGGGAGGTGGTGGCACTAGGAGGAGACGGCTTACTACTGCTAATGGTCGAAAAGACGCTGGCGGTCGACGAAAGGATGCTGCTCGAGGAGACTAGAGGCATACTAATGACGGAGCTGTAGCTCAAGGTGGGCTCGGAGCTGCTGACGGAAGGAAAAGAGGAAGATGAAGTCGTAGCTACAGATGACACAGCCGGATGTGCCGAGCTAGGATCTATGGTGAAAGTGATCGGGTAGGTGTTGCCGCCATCCGTAACGGTAGCAGTCACCGTGATGAGTGTCTTGCTGCTGTCAGTAGTAGTTGTAAGAGGCAAACTCGCCAAAGAGGACGAAGTGACCGAAGCGGACGAAGAAACGGGAGGCTGGACCGCAATAACACTCGATGAAGATGATGTCGCAGAGCTCGTCGTAGGCGGCACGGGGGCAATGACCGATGAAGCTGCAGCAGAAGTAGTGATAGCGCTCGACGATAAAGGTACTCCTCCAGGAGGAGGAGGCTCAACAACGGTAACAGTCACCGTCACCGGACCGACGCTCTGCGTAGCAGAACTGCTCTCAGATCCATAAGGAGGAGGCACCGTCATGGTCGTCGTGCCGGCAGATTGCGTAACCACCACTGTCTGCGTGACCTCTACCTCTCCTCCTCCTCCTCCTCCTGCCCCACTACTACTTCCTCCGATGGGAGCAGCAACAGACCCCAAAACCTTTGCCGCCTCATCCGGCTCGTAGCAATCAATCACCACACCTTGGACGGTAGTCATGGGCATGACGAAGCACTTCTTGCCACTGCCGCACTGAGCCACGTTGAACTTGCCCTGGGCGTTGCAGTAGGCACGACCACCCTGCACACAAGCGGCCTGGCCGGGTGTGCAGGTGGTGTCCTTGGTGAGACTGGAGAACTGCTCGTTGTAGCGGCGAGCGTCGGCGAGGTTCTTGGCGTAGATCTCGGGGGAGACGGTGGTGGTGGCGGAGGGGAGGGCGCCGGTCACGGCCGTGGGGAGGTCGTTCAGGATGTTGCTGCTGGTGACGGCGGGTTCGTTTGGTTGTTGAGTGTTCGAAGCCGCGGCGGATGATGATGTTGCTGCCGCTGACGATGAGCTAGCGGAACCTGATACCGTCACAAACACTCCCCCAGGCGCGCCTGCGACACCACTACTGCTAACCACAGCCGCCCCCGTCGTCGATGTTGAGGACTTTCCAAAGTCACTCGGAAAGTCCGTCGTAACTCCAATAAACCCTGGTATTGTGTAAGATACCACAATTGTCGTCGATCCACCGCCGCCCTCTGCTAATGTTGTTGTCGTCGTCCCATCCTCATCATGCCTTTTCTGCCACGCCGCCTGCCTCCGTGCCTCACGACTCCTGAGAGGACCAGCCTCAGCAGCAGTTGTCAAAAGGCCGACAAGACCCAGTATTGTTGTGGCAGGTCGCATTTCGTTGGTGGTTGTTGGTGTTGTTGTGATGCTCGAGTGAGTATATATGCGTGTATGGGTGTAACCGATGGTCTGAGACCCGGAGTACCCGTGGAAGGTTTTTGAGAAAAGAGAAAAATTGAATTGAACCCCAAATTTGCTTGTTTATCCTCCGTTGAATCAAATTATGGTGTAAAAGTGAGAGAATCGAATTGATCGACACCGACCAGTCGAATAGAACTAAGATCCCCCTTCGGTTGTTCCTGAAGGCGTAAGGCGGGCGAAGGACGGATGATCTCGTGGAAGCGGTGGTAAACTTGACGAAAGGAGATCAATTGCTTCTTTGTGTTACTACTCCCCTTTGCCAACGGGATCCAATATGATTTGTAATGTGTGTGTTGGGCGGTTAAATTCCCAAACAATATGGAAGTCGAATGTGTGGGGACAACTGAAGTAAACGCTTGTATAGTGAAAACAGACGCTGATGATGAGTAATGACGAGTGAAGGAAAGGAGAGAACTGATAGAAACAGACAAAGATGATCAAGTTCCAAAAACCAATAAGTCAGAACCAGAGAATGATGGAAACACACAGACCAAAGAAAATATGGGGAGAAAAGAGGGAGAAGAGGAAGAGACAGAAAGTTCAAAGCAGAGAAGATATCATGAGCCAGTACATAGCCCAACTACAAAGCCGCCCCAAAGGTGCCTCTTCTTCGTTGGGCTAGCTAGCTAGCTAGCTCCAGAAAAACCACATGGTCCTCGATGCAAGATGCGATGACAGGTAATGTCGCGTCACGAAACCCACGCACCATTCCTCTTTTGAGAAAGCCGCCGCCCTATGAGAATCTCTCCAGGCCCCCAGTCTTGATTGTCCTTTGGATCGGGTTGCCCAGAGAATTGGGCATGGATGTAGGCATGGTAAGAGACGCTGCGCAGCATCGTGAAATCACTGGATAGCTGGCGGCCAACTTTCTCGACCAGCCAAGCATCGTGATTAATTATCCGGTATATGCCATGGATATGGACATGGGGAGGGGGAAAAGCGTAGTACCGCATGGAAGAAAAAGTGCCTAGACCTTTTCGTTCGACTGGCCCAGTCACTGTGAGTCGTCGTTGGTCGTCTTTGGAGTCAATACTGTACACTAGGTGAATATCCACTTGCTCGGCATATCGATCCAGGCACACAACTTGGACGTGGGGAGATAGTATGCCTCTTCCTCACTGGATGCCCTGCTAACAAAGACGCCCTCATTCCTCGTCAGTCAGGTTCTCCGCGCATATGATTCGTATCGAGTCAGCTCTTAGTGTCCATGTTGGGCGCTTCATGGCCAAGCGTTCTTTGTCTTCGACTAGGGGGATCAGCGAGTGACTGGTGGTCGTTCACCGTCACTCACTGGGTATGAAAAAGAAGAAAATCATCAACCAACGAAGTCCCCTTGTCTCTCTCCTCCCCCTTTGTTTCCCAAAATAAGCATTCTCTCACATTTCACGAACCTCATTGGTTGCGCCAGCCTGGAACCGCCAAAACGGGTTCCAGCCGCCCGCGATTCAGGGCCAATCATTCTCGGCTGACGGGGGTGTTCCTGAGGCTCTTTTTGGATCGAGGACAAAACCCCTGCATTGGGGTTGGGCGGATGCGGATGCGGATGTAACATCAGCACTTTTGCTTCTTGCTTTGCTTTTGCCATGAGCTTGCAGTGCTTGCCGCTCACCGGACGGACACCCGCTCTTGCAGGCCTGTGTAGCGGCGCTTGATGAGAAAGATTTGAGGATTTTCCAAATTACAGGATTTTGGACATCTCCTCTCGGCGCATATTTTGTAGACTTGATGTTGGCCCAAAAGGCCTATCTATGGTTCTATGTATACAAGACTGGCAACCATCTGGATGAGATGATAAATCCGTGATGCATCCTTCGCCTTCATTCTTCTGCTGTTTTTTCCCTTCCAAGTGATGATGATGCTGATGGTTATCCAAGTCAGACTTGGGTCATTCTCGACGTGTGAGCCGGTGCTAGCAATAGATTGAGTTTTTGTACGGTTTCGCCCAAGACTCCCATCTGAATGAATGCTTGCCATCCAGCAGCGCCCATGCCAAACATCTACTTGAATAATGCTGTAAAATTATGCACATCCAATTGAACTGTTTATATTGTTTCTCTTCAAACCGTGCACATGCTCTCCCTCACACTCTTATCCCATACCTCTACTCATCCACGATATGCTGATTCCCTGCTCCTCTGTCCGCACTGACCCATGCCTCCGGAACAAGCACTCACAACAGCAACAGCAAACCCATCAAGCCACCCACGACTCCCACGGTCCCGGACATGACACTACCTCGTCGCACTACAACTTGACAATCGTCATGCCGTTGACCGTCATCGTTTCCGGTTCCGCGTATTCTTCCTCTTCGTCCTCCTCCGAATACTGATCCTCATGGCCACTGTGGTAGTCACCATCGAACCCCTCCTTATCGTACGTCTCAGAGTAGTACTCGGCGTCTGATTCGGGCTCCTCTGGCGCCGGAGCTTCGTGGGTTGTGGCCTTGCTGGCCTCAGGTAATGGGGAGGCGGTTGGGTTCCTGGATGTTTGTCTGGATGACCTCCTGGATGCTGGTGAAGCCACCGTGACTTCCACCTTCTGCACCTTACTGGGTCGCATTCCCTCCTCATCGACAGCAGGTGAACTTCTTTTCCTCGTCACCTCCATCATCTCCATGTTGTCGTTATCGTTATCCTCCAACCCTACTGCATTCGCCGACCCATCGCCGGCGGCCGAAGAGGTCGAAAGTACCGTTGCTGGCGTGGTACTCCTCGATCTCTCGCTCTTCGAGTCGTCGAGGTCAACCGCAGTATGAACAGGCGATCTCGACAGCCTCGTAGAGTCCGTCGTGCCGACTCTCGGCTCTTCCATAACCGGTACCGTAACACCAACAGCAGCAGCAGTAGTAGTAGTAGCAGTAGCCGTAGCGACGGCAGCGCTCTCGTCATACAACGTCCCCAGCCACGCCTCCCGGAACTTCAACCCAATAGCCAACGCCATATGCCTAGACACCGAATTGCCAACCAGCTTCCACTGGTCTGTCGTCCGTCCCACCAACACCTCCTCATCGAGATACCCTTGCGCCCGACGCATTTCCTGCACCGTATACGGCCGGTCTTCGTCCCAGTGCAACCCAGGTCCCATGCGCGCATCACTGGGATTAGAAGTAGCTGTGACGGTAGGGAACAACGTCTTGGGATTGAGCCTTTTCCAGCCCACGGATGCATCGCTTGTACGGGTCTTGCCTTCACTAGGGAACAAATCCCTGTCGCTCTTGCTCATTACTCCGTTCCCATTGTTCCAGGCCTTGATGAAGTTCATGCCATACGGGTGGGTGGGAATGCAGGCATACTGGGCACGAATGTAGGGCGTGATTCCCGACGCCAGACGATGATCCGGGAACGGGACACAGGCGTCCGGCTTCCCGTCCCCGACTTTGGGTAGGTCGGCGGTGCCTTCGCCGGCGCTGACGAACTTGAAGGCGGTGGGGATGAAGCTTCTTTGAACATATGATTCCCCATTACAGAGAAAACCGATATTGCGGTTCTTGACTCTGTAATGGGAGTGAGATGGTAGCGGCGGGTCCGGAAGAGGGAGACCGGGAGCCGCAAAGTACAAGAATACGCGCTCACGGCTTTGGGGGGCACCGTGAGCCCAAGCGTCTCCGAGGATCAGCTGGGCCTGATAGCCCATGCCAACAAGTGCGCAAAACAGCTGTGAAAGGACATCTTGCTTCCGGTTCACAAACGTCTGCACAATGCCCGAGACATTTTCGAGGACGCCGTACTTGGGTCGGTAAAAATCGACAAAGGAGGCGAAGGAGGCCACCAGGGATTGGTTCTTGACTTGGTTGAGAACCTTCTTGTCCTGGGTAAGCAGTGAGAACCCGGGGCACGGGCTACCGGCGGCAATGAAGTCGACTTCACCGGGCCTGGGCACATTGTCGGAGAATTTACCCTAATAGATGTTAGTCAGGATGGCTTATGCTAATCAAGTTATTTCAAAACAAGAGGGTACATACCTCCAGGGCAAGGCGGAGAAGGTCGTCCACGGAGCCAAGAAAAGGGTGAGTCTTGTTCGGATCCGGGGTATTGGCCATGTAGGTATGTATGGCCTTGTCCCAGATATCGTTGGCCCAGCGCATCTCAACAACACCGCCCTCTTCTAGGCCTCGTCCAAAATTACCACCGCCGCAGTATAGATCCATTCCCCTCAACTTTGGCTTGCCAAGATTCCCCAAGGGGTTGAATCCTTGACGCAAAGTGGGTGGGAACGTGTCAAGAGGAACGCATCCCGCATGATCTTGCCTATGGGTGATGAAGAAGATGTTCCCCGTCCCTCCTCTATCGTATGGACTTGGGATTCGCTCATCCGGGCGAAAGCATCTCACGACGCACTTGCCTACAATTCTCTCGGCTCGAACATCCACCAAATCTTCGGTATAGACCAGCTCGTTGGCTGGCGCATCTTGACGATCGACCTTTCGTCGTCGCAACAGTTTTTTGAGCCGTACGAATGCCGTCTCTTTCTCCCCTTGCGTAAAGTATTCAACGACTTCGTAGGGATCCGAAAACTTGTCAGACGGAGAGAGCGTCGCGAGAACCGTATCTCCAGGCTTATATGGAGTTGTGGGCGGTTTCGGAGGCTGATTATGATAGCAAGTCAAATGATCTTTCTGCAATGTGATCCAACGCCGTTGCTCGCTCTCATATAATTGCCTAACGAAAAATTCCCCTTTGTTGCTTTCCGGGGTGCTGAACCAGTCCACCGGGTGGACCGCAAGCACCTCGTTGCCCTTGACGCGGGCGTAATGGCCTTCCTGACACGTGCAATGGTTGGAAAGGAAGAGTTCGTTGCGCCACTTGTATTTCATAGCACAGCACGGCGAGTCTTCTGGTCGATAAAACCAGATGACGTCGAAACTCTTTGAACTAAGGCCACGGCCACTCTTGGTCTTGGCGGTATGTACTCTTTGA